AAAAAGCTGTCAGAAGCACAACACACGAGAGCCATTGTGCCTTGAGCAGAAGCACCCCCTCATCGGTTGAAAAGAGCCTTATGGGACTGTTCATTGCTTTGGTAGCGTCGCAACCATAACGCATAGGCCTACCTTTCATAGGGCGTTTGTAAAACAGCGGAAGTGCAGTTCTCACTAGGGAAGCCTTCGTAGCAAGAACAATTGCGCCCTCTCTTGGTCAAACTCACAGATCACGTTCTCAGAATCTTTTTTCACTGTAATCTGTTAAATGGGGTTGTTCCAGATTACATGACTATTTGGGGGTCCATTCCTCATTTGCATTGTTCTAAAAATGTGGCTTATTATGTAGATAATGGCTAAATCACAAACTGTATTATTCATCGGCATAAATGACATTAATCTTTGATGAAACTTTCCTGATTGCTTTCATTTTTATTCTCCGTTGCTCAAACTAAACTCGCCTTCAATGCAGTATGGCCGACCTGCGAATAAGGCAAATTAGACCACTGCGCTAGGTCCATGAAACCTCCCTTTCCAGGTTCGTTGGAACCCCATTTCCAGATACTAACATTATGCTCGACATCACCAAAGTTTGAAATTAAAGATTTTCAGCCTTTTTTTAAGCTAAATTGAGCACAAGCTGTTTTTGTCATGCCCATTTTATTTTAGTTCTTTCATTTTTTTTCCATTCCAGTTTAACCTGTCGTCCCTTTTCTAGTAAAAATGTCACCGAATCACATGAAATAAGTTGGAACCTACCAGCTTTTGTTTTTTAATTCTCAAACGTGACTTTGCATGCACAGCTCTGACAAAAAAAGTTCTTTTGATATTGTTTGAAACAGTTTCATGATCATGACATCTTAACTACACAAATATGCTGCTTTCATTGGCTAATTTCCTTGTGATTCGATTACATTTTTTTTCAAGTTGCGAACGGCAACACATGCACAGACAGACAGATATAAAAAAACGAAGCTCAATCACCGTTCCACTTTTTAACCTTTAAATTCTTATGTCATTTTAAATCTTAAGTCTTCTTTCAGATAATCAAAACATTGTTCCGGTATTCTTACATTTCAACACAAATCTGAACAATTTGTGAAACTTGTAGCACAAAGTAATAACTAACTTTGGTCCTATTTAGGACAAATGCCTTTAGAAACGTACTTTTTGGGCCCCCTTTTCGATTAGGAGAGGGCTGCTTTCGATTTCGAAATCTTTTGCCCTCGAGATCTCACAAGTGTAACCATTTCCTTCCAATACTTGCGTTTAAACGTAACTGCTCAAGATATTGAAAGATCCATATCAACGGCACTATTTTTGTCGGTTTTGTTTCTCTTTTATAGATTCTTAACCTATAAAGCATCTAAAAGCAGGACGACGTTAACGATGATCCCTCATAAAGAGTAGTTTGAATACTGTCACAGTAAGCAATTTGAAATAATCGTTGAGATGAAATATTACAAAGAATTTAGTACTTTCAAAAATCCATTTGAATTGAAGCTAGATATGGGGCGGAGAGAACCCTCTTTCCTTTGTCTTGGTCATTGTTTGATCGGAATCTCCGGAATTCGTTACAGACTTCTGGGGGGGATGTGTTTGGTAACATAGTCTAGAGTGTGTATAGAGATTGGACAGGTAAGGGGGTACCCCTCCGTCCCATATCTTGCCTGGTATAAAATGGTCCGTTATTGCTTCTTGTGACGTTACAGACAGATTTCAACCTGCAAAAACCAATTCTGGCGTCAATTTGCCCAAAATCCTTGTTATTTACGCAATAGCGAAAACCCAGGAAGGGACTTGATGAACTTTTATTCACTTTGTCGTTTCGTTTGTAACAAGCACAATAGTCAATTCCCGAGAATTAAATAAGTGCACTCGGATTACTACTTCGTTTGCCCAAAGAATTACTCCCACAATTTGCGCAAAGAAATTAGTAACTTGTGCTAACAATTAGCAATTCGTGGAGAATCACTAATGTGTGTTAATGTGGTACAGGAGTAATTTGCGCCAACGAATCATTGGAGTAATTCGTTGGAAGATATTAGTAATTTGTGGAAACCAATTACTAATTTATGCGAACAAATTACTTCAGATATTTGTGTGAACAAAGGATACATTTGTGCACACGAATTAGTCTTCATGGGGTCAAATTACTGATTTCTTTGAGTGGATTACTGGAGTAATTCGTTCGAGTGAATTAGTAATTTGTGGAGAAAACCAAGAGAGATTCATTGGAAAAAAAGGAAATTCATGCACACGAATGATTAATTCTTGCAAACGAATGAAAAATTCTTGAATTACTACTTTGTGCAGAGGAATTACCAGAGTAATTCATGCAAACAAATTTGTAATTTTTGTGAACTAATTATTAATTTGTGACTACGAATTAACAATTTTTGACGTAATTCGTTGAGACGAATCACCAATTTTTGCTAAAGAATTACCGTAATCCATGCACGTAAATTAGTCATTTGTGCGATCGACGAAGTAATCCATGGAAAAGTACCGAGTTTTACAAACGAATTACCGGAGTAATTCGTACAAACAAATCAGTAAATATTCCAAACAAATTACTGTAATGTTCGAACAAATTACAAGGGTCATTTGCTCCTAGAAGCAGTAATTCTTGGGAACGAATTACCTAGTTGTGCAAACTACTGAGTAATCCGAGCACAGAAATATGGAATTCCTGGGAACAAAATAATATTCCCTGCGCACCAAATAACAGCTCGAATGAATGGTTCCATCGAGTTTCTTCCTAGGCTGCACATAGTACATAAATGTGTAAACAGAAAAAGTTTTAGATACCTTTTCCATTAGCATGGAATTTTCAACCTTACGAACAAAAGTAGATGCAGTTCTGGACGAACGTTTATACACATTTTGACTGAAGCTTCAATAATATTCTACCACTCATATTTGGCAACATTCGTTTTTTATTAGTAACAGCTTTTGGTTTGCTTGAATGTTTTCCATTTATATGAAGTGGATGTATAAAAATTGGCTTATAGGTAATAGGAAAGAACTGTTGCCAATAATTGGAAGGTTGAAATTGCAATTTAATTTACAAAATTGATAAAAATGTGTATAAACGTTTGAATGCAAACGAGACGTTTGTTGAAAAAACGTCCACGTCGAACCAACTTCTATATTTCCAAAGACTGAAAATAAGGACAAGACTTTTTAGAGTGAGAAAAGAACACTCTGAATTTTGATGAAAAAAGTTCTAAAAAGAGCCACTCTTGGGAGACTCGAGTGTCATTTTAATCAATCGGAGGGAGGAAATACACTCCAATTTGTCTTTGCCTTAGTTTCAATTAGGGTGAATATTCACGAATATGCAGTGAATATTCACCCTTTGGAATTATGAGAGAACGTGTCCAAGTTGAGTGGGAAGAGTAGCAGCAGCTCCCAATGTTGATCGACGATCGGCCACTGGCGTCGTCTGGTCGGTCGTAAGGAACCTGGGCAAATGACAAAGTAGGACAAAGTATTAGTTATCGTTTATCGTTGCAGACCAACAGGACCAAATGCAAGAGTGCCACAAGAAATGCCTTGTGATGACCTTGGTTATTTTGATACAGCGCCCAACAAGTTCAGGGTTTCTTACACTTGTCACTTTTGAAATTCAAGGGATAATTAGGACACTGTGCCATTTTGCTGGTCTCAGAAGAGGAATCAAAATTTCTCAGCTAAAATTGCAAGAGGACGGTTTAAAAGCTTGACATCCAAAAAATTAAAAGCCACCTTCAACAGCCATAATCAAGGCGCTGGGGGGGGGTATATAACAGACTTTCTCATGAAAGGTACAGCAAATTTACAAGTATTAATCAGAAGCAAAAGGGCGTGTCTTGAACCCTACTCAACTGGACCAAATCAACAAAAATATGGTTGGCATTACATGTATTCAAATACTCTACAAGTCACAGAGGGGGACATTACTAGCATTGGATAAGACCGCCCAGTGGCACACCCAAGTGGGGGGGGCCTTCACAAGTTTTGTATTTGTACTTTTTCACAATGAAGATCCGGCATGAACCTACGTTTTTCCTACTCCCTACATCCTTATGTGATATAGCAATATATCCCAGTCCCCTATAGGTAAACGGGGAGGGGTCTTGAGCACCATGCAAGAGCTACTTTCGGGGGGGGGGGTGAATTACAGTCTGATCCCCCCGTGACAAATCCTAGGTGTGCCGCTGAGAATGCATACCTTGATGGGCTGACAGGAAAGTTCTGGTGGTGATAAGCAAGTCCGGTTGACAGCTATGCGCTGTGTGGCGTGCAGCAAGGTCGATTCTGCTCCTGGTCCAGTGATCCACGTCCCGCCAATTATGAAGTGGTAAACCATCTCAAGTAGCCTGATCAACTCTGCATTCCAGAAATAGAAAGAAACAAGAAAAACAAGCATTGAGAGTTTGTCAATTATTCCACCGATACAAGATTCTTTGGGAACTTGGACAAAGTGGGACTCTTCTGGACAGTTTTTTTTTTAAATGAAAGTTTTCCCACGTTTGGACTTGAGAAATTTTCCCTCAGAATTCCAAGTGGCGTGCAAATCAAGCAGGTTGTGTACGTCGCCGTCCAGTTCTTCCTCATTCCAATCGGTCATCGTCTTCCAAGAGCTCGGTCTTGTGAAATGTCTATCTTCCGCCAGCAAGGCATATGGGTGGGAAGGTAGTTCTTGCCTTGTACAATACCCGGGCTGTCGACATTTAAACAAAAACGACAGAAAAAAAACACAAACAAAAGCACCCTCCCTCCAATAAAAAGCATTCCCTGGCTCAACAAACACTGTGAAACATTGAACAAAGTTCAATAATTCGGATATTTACCTTTTTCTGAGAAATTTTCCATAAGAGTTTCCGTAAGAGCTACCCAACATTTGGACACCTTGTTGAGGTGATATTATGCCAAAGTTAGGGCAAAAAGTCGTCCAATAATGCCCAAATGTTTTACCGTGCACAGACTCACTGTATCAACTTTTATAGAAATAAAAGTTTTAGAAATCGATGAGGATGGATGTTTTACACCCAATGGAAAAAGGGAGATACACTTTTGGTCGAGTACACACATTTTGATAATACATCTTACGCCTTCTTTGATGTTCTTGGGGAGAATGCTGATGGCCAACAGCATCCAGTGTATGATGTTACAGCAAGAGGAATTTGGCGCCTATAAGTCCAGTCATCCACGTCCCGTTTGTGTCGGAAAACTCTCTCGAAGCATCCCACGCTCTGCATTTTGCAAAAAGGAAAAGACTGGATAAAAGTGAGCAAAATGAAAATTTCCAAGTTGTGATTTGGGAGACTCAGCACCAGAATTCCAAAAGGTGGACATTTCAAACAGGGTCAAAGTCACCATCAAGATCTCCTTTGCGCTAATTGGTCAGCACCATTACAGAAATCTGTCCTCATTGCCAATCCTCTTCCCTCAGTAGGCTACGTGGGCGCTAAGTAGTCTTTGCCTGGTAGGGTACAGTCTGGCTGTTGACATGAAAAGAAAAACACTAGCCAAGGCAGGCTAGATTCAATATAAATATATGCAACTATCATTCATCACCAGCACAAGTCTTACACATTACCTCGGGGTCTAGCCCTACCTGTTCATCTATGCCTAACTGATTCTACATTTTTTCTAGTAGGCCTTGCTAAAGTAAACAGTACTAAGCCTAACTACAACATGCATGTTGAATAATAATGCTAAATCTAGGATTCCTTAATAGTCTTAATTCTCCAGCAGAGAAGGAAGCGTTTGAATTTCAGGCAGCAAACGATCTACCTCCGCAAGATCTGTTGCCTCATTGAGCATATACAACGTTTTAGAAACGCAGCAGCGCACTATTGAAAGCGTCCTGAACATGAATCACAGCAGGGAATTGGGCAGAGATTTTATCCACATAGATGACCACTTTAGCATCATCAGATGACAGTGAACTACGGTTGGCGGGGCCAATCGTAACGAGACAGGTTGAACTAGGCCTGCTGCGCTTCCTTACGTACCCAACGAATTAAGTCCACAAAAATGTTGGGTGAAGAATGTCACAAATCAATCCACTGATTGTAAATTCGCTGTAACTGAAGCTTCACATTCCTGGAAAAAATGACCCTAATTTGCCGATCTTTGCTGGTCGGACTTGCGTTCAGGACAGTTGTGCATGTACAACAGTTTTACCTTGTAAGAGTGACAAATTCGGTTATGCAAGAGTGTCCTACATCAGTTAGACAATCGTTAATTCCCAGAAACTGATGCTTCATACTTGCCTATTTCAAAATATGATTTGCCAATCACTTCAGGTCGGACTGAACGTACGTTCGGGCCGTTTATAAAGAACATCCATGTAATTAGAGCATTACTTTACCAAAAACAAACAAACAAACAAACAAATATACAAAATGCTAGTTAGTCGTTCTTCGGATGTTGGGCTTCCGTGTAGTGTTAGGAGCTGTAGCACTTTTTACTTGGGATAGAATCGGGCACATGACAGAAAATTTATAATCCGTGAGAAGACAGACAAAAAATGCCATGCGTCCATCGACTGATACAGTAACCGAAGCCTAACTTCCCAGGAAAAATATGAACCTATTGTGCCAACCTTTATAGGTCGGGCTTATGTTCAGGACTGTTACACAGCTTTTTTACATGGGCTACAACCCCAAACTGTCAACAAATTCATAGCCATAAAACGTCACTGTAATCGCTTGATTGTATATTTCATCGTAGATGTTTTAAGCTTCTGGAGAACACAATGGCCCTACTCTTCCGATCTTTGGTAATCGGACTTTCGTTCAGATCTGGTATTCAGTAATCACCTGAAAACAAATGATACATGTAGTTCATGAGAATACTTGAGTAACATATGCCAATTAACCAATCAAAAACAGTAACAGTTTTACTTTTCTGGAAAAATACAACATAACCCTAATTTGCCGATCTTTGCAGTTCGGACATATGATTGGAACTGTCTTACAACATGTTTACATAGGATACAACCTTACACGTGCATGGCAACCATTACAATCTGCGGAAATATTTGAAGAAAACTTTCACGTAGACCGATCGAAATGTTACAGTAGTAAAATGTTACTTTTCTGGTAAAAAATACACAATGACCCCAATGTGCCAATCTTTCCAGTTCAGGCATATTTTTTTCAGATTCGTGTTACAATAATTTTACATTGGATACAACCTAGCATGTTACAAATTTCAAGTCACGAGAATATTTGATAAAAATATTTCGTAACAGTCGATCATAAACTCACAGTTATTAAAAATTTACTTTACTGGAAAACAAAACCATGACCCTACTTTGCCCACCTTTGCAGGTCGGACTTACGTTCTGCTCAGATAAAAATTACATGCGACAATTTAAATCCAAAAGAGAATATTTGACGATTAATGCCAATCGATCGATCAAAATCTCACAGTAATAAAAAGGTAACTTTGGGGAAAAACTACACAATGATCCTAAGTTGCCGATTCTGTTCGGACTTACGTTCGGGTCAGTTACACGCCACATTCCATGGAAACAACCTTATAGTGTATACATGTATAAAAAACATATAATCTGCAAAAGTATTTGATGATCAATGTCATGTCAATCGACCGATAATAAACTCACAGTAGATGTTTTCATTTTCTGGAAAACAAAACACGATTACCTGAGTTTGCCGATTCTGCAGTTCGGACTTTAATACGGTCAGATCGGTTCGGCCTATTCAGCGATCATGGGATAACAACCTAAGTATATTTTATGAACCATTTGCCCATCGACGGGCAATTGAGGTTTTACTTTTCAGTACAAAAATAGACAATAACCCTAATGTATCCATGTTTGCTAATCCAGACTTACATTCATGCTGTATGTACAACAGCATGTTTACATGGGACACAGCCTCACATTTAACAACAAATTATAATCCTCGAGAAAATTTGAAGAAAACTGTCGAGTTGACTGAGCGAGATCTCGCAGTAATGTACATTTCACTTTTCTGGAAAATACACAATGGCCCTATTGTGGCGATCTTTATGGTTTAGACTTTGGTTCAGACCCCTTTTACAGTAATTTTACATGGGATACAAACTAACGCGTGACAAAAAAATTATACCTTCATGATTATTTGATAAGTATGGTGCAAATCGACGATTAAAAAAGCTCATGGGATTTAAAATATTACTTTTATGGAAAGAAATATGCAATGACCCAAAGTTGCCGATCTTTGCAGTTCGGATTTGGGCCAGCTGTTTAACAGCAAGGTCACATGGAATATGACACGTGACAACAAATTATAAACTGCGTCATTGTTTGATGAAATATGCTGTGCAAATCTACAAATCGTAACTCATGCAGTGGGCAGTTTGATATTTTACTAGAAAACAAATATAGAATTACCCGAGGATTGATTTAACATCACAAAATGAAAACAATCATTTTTATCTTGGACATTCCACTGAACAAACAACGTGCAGAATGAAGTAGCCGTCTGTAGACGATGATGAAATTAAACCAATCGTTTTCAAGAACGAAATTGACAGGCCTATTTCTTTTTATTAACAAGAACGAAAAAGTGTCGTTTGGGGGATAACGTAGGCAGCATGTATTTCCTTTCCTTTTTCTGTTTTCAATTGTGTAGAGAGATAATTTGACGATACCGGGTTTTTTTTTTCGAATATGATGCAACCGAATTACTTTTTCTGCAGATTCATAGGATGGTTACAGGTATGTACACTCGTTGCACGGACAATGACAAGGTCAAAACAATGTGCATCAAAACAAAATGACGACAAAAACAGTTTCATAATTTCTTCGTAAACAACTTTCCTTTGCAGCATTTATAAACAAACGCGAAAGAGTGTCGTTTCGTTTATTACAAAACATGTTTATTTTTATTACCCTTTTTCTCACTCGATTTGCAACAAAGCAACGATACTATTTACTCGAGGATAAAACCGACGTCGCTAAACACCTTTATAAACAAAGTTAAAGAAAGTGGCATGTGTGCGCTCGGTCGATTGAAAGTCGAAATAATGTACTTCAACCTGGTCATTTCACTTGACAAAAACTTGTGCAAAACGGAGGTGACGTTTATCGACTATAATTAAATTTAACCCATTGCGAAGACGAAAGCCTTTTTCATATTTTTTGTTCGTAAACAACTTCCCTTTGAAGTATTTGTCGAAAAACGCGAAAGAGAGTTGTTTGATGATTACGAAAACGTGTTTATTTTTATTACCCTTTTTCTCGCTCGATTTGCAACACAACAAAGCAACGATACGATTTACTCCAGGATAAAACCAACGTCGCTAAAACCTTCATAAATAAAGTTTAATGATGGTGGCATATATGTGATCGCTCGATTGAAAATAACCAGGTCGAAATAATGTACTTCAACCTGGTCATTTCGTTGACAAAAAGATCCTGCAGAACAAACGTGGCGTTTATCGACAAGACCTACATGAAATCGATTACGGAGACGAAGAGCTTTTACCATTTTTTTATAAACTCACTCGACAATGCAACAAAGCAACGATACGATTTATTCGAGGATAAAACGTCACTTAACACTTTTTTAAAGAAAGTGTAATGACAGTGGCATGTGTGCACCCGGTCGATTGAAAATAACTAGGTCGAAACAATGCACTTCAACCTGGTCATTTCACTTGACAAAAACTTGTGCAAAACGGGGGTGGCGTTTATCGACAATAATTACATTTAACCCATTACGAAGACGAAAAGCCGTTTTCATATTTTTTTCGTAAACATTTTTCCTCTGAAGTATTTTTAGACAAACGCGAAAGAGAGTTGGTTCGATTATTACGAAAACGTATTTATTTTTACTATCCTTTTTCTCACTCGAACAAACGTGCCGTTTATCGACAAGACCTACATTAAATCGATTACGGAGACGAAGAGCTTTTACCATTTTTTTTTATAAACTCACTCGACAATGCAACAAAGCAACAATACGATTTACTCGAGGATAAAACATAGCTAAACACCATTTAAAACAAAGTTTAATGTGGTGGCATGTGTGTGATCGCTCGATTGAAAATAACCAGGTCGAAATAATGTACTTCAACCTGGTCATTTCAATTGACAAAAAACCTGCCGTCGAAACGTGGCGTTTCTCGACAGGAACTACATTTAATCATTACGAAGACGAAAAGCTATTATTTTTTCATATTTTCACTCGATTTACAATACAAAAATAAACCAAAAACGATACCATTTACTCGAGGATAAACGTCCTTGAACAGATTTTAAACAAAGTTTAATGGCAGTGGCATGTGTGCACTCGGTCGATTGAAAATAACTAGGTCGAAATAATGCACTTCAACCTGGTCATTTTACTTGACAAAAACTTGTGCAAAACGGGGGTGGCGTTTATCGATAATAATTACATTTAACCCATTACGAAGACGAAAAGCCGTTTTCATATTTTTTTCGTAAACATTTTTCCTCTGAAGTATTTTTAGACAAACGCGAAAGAGAGTTGGTTAGATTATTACGAAAACGTATTTATTTTTACTATCCTTTTTCTCACTCGATTTGCAACTCAACAAGGCAACGATACGATTTACTCAACGATAAAACGTCGTTAAACACCATTTAAAACAAAGTTTAATGTGCTGGCATGTGTGCGATCGTTCCATTGAGAATAACCAGGTCGAAATAAAGTACTCCAACCTGGTCATTTCACAGAACAAAAAATTCTGCAGGACAAACGTGGCATTTATTGACAAGGATTACAATTAATCGATAACGAAGATGAAGAGCTATTACCACTTTTTCCATATTCTCACTTGATTTACAATAGAACAAAGCGACGTTACGATTTATTCGAGGATAAAACGTCCCTTAACACCTTTTTAAAGAAAGTGTAATGACAGTGGCATGTGTGCACTCGGTCGATTGAAAATAACTAGGTCGAATTAATGCACTTCAACCTGGTCATTTCACTTGACAAAAACTTGTGCAAAACGGGGGTGGCGTTTATCGACAATAATTACATTTAACCCATTACGACGACAAAAAGCCGTTTTCATATTTTTTTCGTAAACATTTTTCCTCTGAAGTATTTTTCGACAAACGCGAAAGAGAGTTGGTTGGATTATTACGAAAACGTATTTATTTTTACTATCCTTTTTCTCACTCGATTTGCAACTCAACAAGGCAACGATACGATTTACTCAACGATAAAACGTCGTTAAACACCATTTAAAACAAAGTTTAATGTGCTGGCATGTGTGCGATTGTTCCATTGAAAATAACCAGGTCGAAATAATGTACTCCAACCTGGTCATTTCACTGAACAAAAAATTGTGCAGGACAAACGTGGCATGAGGATTACAATTAATCGATAACGAAGATGAAGAGCTATTACCACTTTTTCCATATTCTCACTTGATTTACAATAGAACAAAGCGACGTTACGATTTATTCGAGGATAAAACGTCCCTTAACACCTTTTTAAAGAAAGTGTAATGACAGTGGCATGTGTGCGCTCGGTCGATTGAAAATAACCAGGTCGAAATAATGTACTTCAACCTGGTCATTTCAGTGAACAAAAACTTGTGCAAAACGGAGATGGCGTTTATCGACTATAA